TCACCCTGATCACTTTGCTATATATAACCCTATATCTAACTCTTTTAGTTTTATGACTTACAAACAACCGTTAGGTGAACAAAACTATAATACTCTCTTTAGCAACTTTGTTGCGAGAGTATAAAAAGCGCAGCAAAGTGATGAGTATTTGAAAGCAATAACTGCAATTCTCGACGATAAACCATACGCAGATTACKTCATGAARAACGGAGTGTTATATAAACAATGGAAGGGTYAARAGCTATTGGTGATACCGAGAAGTATGGGGAGAGAAATTATACGAAACGTAAACAATTYTGGTCATAYGAACTCGCAGAAGACGATGCATGCGATCCAACAAGACTCATAGCACATTTAGAAAAAAAAGTGAATCAGCACATATMAAACTGCGTTGAGTGCATAGTACACAATYGCAAAGCATTAAGGCAGGGTGACTACCCACTGGMAACTATCCATGTCGATCATTTGGGTATCTTAGATTCTACGTCGAAAAATTATAAGTACATTTTCGCAATAGTTGATGGTTTTTCTAAATTCGTTTGGCTCTTTCCGACAAAAACAACAGATACTCAAGAGGTAATAAAGCATTTGAGTACATGGGTCACTATTTTTGGAAACCCGCAACGTATTATCAGCGTAAAGGCCCAGCAAAGAATTTTGTAAAGAAAATAAAATTGAGCATATAAAAATAACAACAGGCGTTCCTAGAAGCAATGGACAAATCGAGATAGTCAATAGAGTAATTCTTTCTATGTTGTCTAAGTTGTCAGCTAATGATCCAGCGAAGTGGTACCAGAATGCAGCTATGGTACAAAAAGTTATAAACGCGCACGTTTACTCGTCAACAAAATTTACACCCTACGAAATTATGTTTGGAGTAAAGATGAAATGTCTAGTGACACTATAAAACTACTTCAAGAATAATTGTTGGAGGTATTCCAAGAAGATCGTCGAACAATGAGAGAAGAGTGCAGAGAAAATATTCAGAAAGCTCAAGAAGCATATAAAAGAAACTTTGACAAAAAACGAAAAAGCAGTACAGAATAYCAAAAAGGAGATTTAGTCGCAATAAAAGTAATTCAGTTTTCAAATAAAAAKTTATCGAACAAATTTAATGGACCTTATAGAGTCATTGAAATCAAACGCAATGGGAGTTACTCTATCGAAAAACCAGCAGATTTTATAGGTCCCAGGATTACATCAACTAGTGTTGATAATATGAAGCTTTGGGCACATTTCGAGGTTGATGAAGGTTTGTCATCTGAGACAGATGACGAGAAGGATGACCGAATGTAATGTTGGCAACACCTTGTGTGATGCTGGCAAGCAGCAACCAACTTCACGTCTSAAGGAGTAGCGAGAGTTGGCAAATAAAGTTGGCGATGACGGTTGTAAAAACACAGTTGGCGAACACAGTTGGCAAAAGACAATTAGCGAAGAAGTTGGCAAACGCAGCTGATGATATATTTTTCAATTCATTCATTCATTGTTCAATTAATTTAAACTTAATTATAAAMAACATTTTTTAATAAATATAATGTTAACTTTTTACACTTATAGTTGACTTCTGATCGACAATGTTGGTAAATGTGTGATATATATATATAATTGAAATTAAGAGATACTCCTATAGAATGGTGTGTCTGTATGTCAAACATGGGTTGAATCGAATTAATACTTCCCTTAGTCCCCATATACTTAATATAGAGATTTTCGAACTATATGTATTTATATATATGTGAATTACCACAATGAAAAGAAGAAAGCGTGTTTTAGTTATAACAGTRTATCTTTGTGCCTAATATAGATAAATTTCAGTGAAATACAAATAATTTATTCAAAACACTCGTCAGTTGTCTGACGCAGATAAGCCGTTCTCGCAATATGAAAGCCGGAATTTTTCCAGTGTTAATTTTTTGGCGGAAATTCGTGTAAAACCTAATATAAAATGGATTAGTAAATTGCTTTATTATGAAATATGAAAAAGTGAGTATTTACATGACTTTGCCGTAGATAAATGTACCGTAAAAGCTTTTAAAATTACAGTTAAGGTATTTGTGTAAGTTAGTTAGTTAAACAAAATTTCTGTTTATAGACTGCGCAAATAAAAGTTCATTTACGTTGATGCCATATAGGCGTATTGTATTATTCCAATAGATGTCTCTAGGGTCAAGCACTGGTCGATTAAATCGTTCTATATCGATCTTGGACATTTGTGTCAACAGTAACCCAACAAAATATTTCTAGAGATCTGTTTGCGTCCCACATTTTCGACATTTGTGGGAAATTTTGCTTTTTTTTTTTTTAATTCCAAAGTGCGGTTGAGGACCCGTCCACGCTTTACTGAGGCTGACACATATGTAGATAATACTATTACTCTACTACTACCATCTATATGATTCCTATTAGGTATTAAAAAAATTTAGAATGTACAAAAAAATGGATCATAAAGCATTTCGTGTCTTAATTAAGCATTGCTTTTTGAGGGAAAAAGGGAAATTTCCAACAAAAAAACAAAAAAAAAAAAAGGTTTACACGTAATATATATATGTATACTATGTATGATATATGTATTATCAAGCATAGGGTTACCACATCGGTCCAGCGAAAAATCGGCACGTCTCTATCAAAAAAGCAAAAAAAAAAAAACAAAAAAAGTAAAAGAGAAAAGAGAAAAGGAGCACGGTACAGATAGATCACATAGAATTTAATTATCTTCCAGCATCGTACAGTTTACATTGTTGTATCGTCATATTATATTTTTTGGCACTGCCGATTGCTTCTAGCGTATCAACATTTTCAGTTTTCATTATATACTTACGGAAATCGTTACATGACATGTTCTTATAATTGTATATTTAGTGACAATCATGTTGCGAACATTTTCAACAACTAGACGATTGCGTTCATCACTCCATTGGATATAGATGAGAGAGAAAATTCTTTCACAATTAGCATTATGTCCGGGAATAGAAAAAAAGTACTGCGCAATTTTCAAAATTTCAGAAAAGCAATCAATGTTTGAATTCGCTTTAAAAAATCMTCGTCATTATATTTTTCCTTTTCTATAAAATTGTTCAAATTCACCAATTGATCAATTATTTTCTCTTCATGGATATGAACATTTTTTGACTCAAGGGAATTGTTTTTGCAAAGCGGACGTAAAAGCATACTTGCCTTTTCTTTTCCTTTTTGCTTCAGTTGCCATTGATAACTGCAAATACTGCAAATATTATCTGTAAAATGAATTTAATTTTCGAAATAATTTCATTTCACATCATATTTATAACGTCACAAGTCTTGGTCTGTACACTTACCGATAACTTGGGAACGTCGACGAATTCCAAAACTTTGAAAACTGAAGCTTGCAATATTAACATTCACATCCGTTTTCATTCGACAAGTATGTAAATTAAACGAAAACCCGATTGATTTGAAAGAATTATAAACGTTGTTGACAATGGTGGTCACTGCGAATTACTGTATTGAAAGTCTCCATAACCATCGATATATTTCGCCTCTTTTCATCCGATTTAAAAATCGTTCGGTGCCTTTATCGAATGTGAACGTATGTGTATCCAATAAAATTGGATAAATTTGCGAAAAAAAGGCCGAAAATCAGTATACTTCGTTGAAAAATTTGTATATCAGTACGGGGGTCTAAAAATCAGTACTGATAAAATCAGTACACCTGGCAACCCTAACCAAACATTTACATTGAACATTATAGCAATGTGTGATGATAATTAAATTCATTAAATATCATTTATTTTTGTCACATATTGCTACAGATAAAATTAATTTTTTTTTAGATACAGAACCATTTATATGAAATTATGAATGATCGCGACTTTCGAAACAGACTACAAACACGTTTTCTTCAGTTCTGGATTTTTATTATACATATCGCGGACGTTGGTATATTTTGCTGGTGAARCTAAGTGAGTTTAAATCTATAATATTGAGTAATAAGATACCAAATATCATTGTGCTCAATTACAGCCGAACATAACCTTCCTAACTTGTTTTCAACTTAAGCTCTCTTTCCCAGAAATATTCCAAAAGTGAATCGCTTTTCTTTTTTTGTGAGTATAGCAGTCAAAGGTTTTAATTCTAAGTTGAAACGTTTTCTTTGGTAAAGATTAAAATGCGGCTGTACCAGTTGATCTTTCATTCGTAAACTTCCATGACAATACCAAATACTGTCACCAAGGTTGTCTAGTGACTCCAAGTTAATGAGGTATCTTCATTTAGCTTCTAATGTTTTTGCTTTGATTTCATGAAGGTGAAGTGATTTAATGTTCTATTCTTTTAAGAATTGTTGAGATTTTAACGCAATTGAGATTTTACCACATGAACACAAATTTACTTACAATTTCTTCGGGATATAAGGACACTGCAAATCAAGTAGTTTACTAGCGTTCGCCAAGCCCTCGTGTGACTTAAACATCCTGCAGTAAACCGCGAGAAGACAGCAGCTCCTACCTATTCCCAGACAGAGACATTTAGGACTTTATTTTCAGCTTTAGAATAGAAGAAAGCCAAGACTTTCCTGAAAACACTGATTTTCTTTAACAGCACAAGTATAGAATGTTTCCTGTTACAAATTTAGTTATGATTCCAAGTGAGGATTCCAACAAAACACTAAATTATCAAATATTATATAATCTTCGTACGAGTACAAATGTTAACAACGGTAATAAGGAGATTTCCTGGCGCTTAATGTTTCCACTTTTACCAGCATATCCGCATATACTTTCTGTTACAAATACACAAAATAAACACATATTTACAACATTTTAATTTTTTTTATCAATGTTATTGTTGGTATCTTYCAGAAAAATTACTGGCAATGGCACATTATATTTCCCACCGTTTTTGGCGCAATACTATCGCACAGACGTGCACGAGACGATATACCGCTGTCGAGCAGCCAACGAAGCTGGCACCGTGTTGAGCCGGAACGTGCAGCTCCAAGCAGGTGAGTACAAGAACTTTCCACAAAATATGCAACCCGCATAGTTATATGTGTACATGTGTACAAGAATATGTAAGTGCATATAGACAAATCTGATTCTAACTAAATAGGTTTTGAAGTTTGTAAAGGAAGAGAGAGTGCGTTGTCAGAGACGGACGGGTCGTGATTAAATTAAACTGACACATCTGCAAACTTTAAATAATATTTATCAAAAAATTTAGTTACATTTTTGAGTAAATTTCAGAACATTATTACACACATTAACATTAGAGAAGAAGAAATGAGTGTATTTTATGGGATACATATAAAATACCGAAGTTCAAAATACCGGAAAAATTTAAATGAGGTTATAACATAATGCCGACAATCAGAATCGCAAAATTTTGAGTCGAACAAGTTCAGGATTATAACCCTTAGTCGGTACAATTCTCTTTAGGTGATATATATACAACCGATACAACCGTTAGGTGAACAAGACTATAATACTCTGTAGCAAAGATCGAGTTCTTAGATGGGCGTCATCGGGCCACTGCCATTAAAGGTAGAAAAGCCAAATTTATTCTCGACAATTAAGCATCCCTATCGACACCGTTCCTTCCCCATACARCGGTATAGTTAAAAGTTACTAAAAGCGCGATAAATCAATAACTAAATGACAAATATAAAATTTTACACACCGTAGTAAAAATATCGATATCCGACCGCCCGATTCCGATTAAATACGAATGCTTTTACATTATTWTATTATGTCACAGTACTAAAATGAGCGAAATCGGACTACRACGACGACTACTCTCATGAAGAACGTTTTTAAATTTCATTTGACTTAACGAGATTAAACTTTGCACTAATAATTATTTTTATGCATGCCACCTTATGACCAAAAATTGTCCAAATCTAATCAAAAACCTCCAAATACCGGAAATGTGGACTGTGGACAGTATTTATAATTGACCTTTGAGCAAAAATGTCGATCAATGTATGAGATATATAATACAACAAAAAGTTCCGTGAAAGTCCTCTCCTGGAGAGGAGTGTATTAAAAATCGGCTAAAATATATTATATCAGTCAATATGTGAGTTATCTTAAGAAAATGAGAGAGCGTATTTACAGATAAAAGTGCCTTTGTGGCTGAAATAGATAACRTTGGGCGATAATTAGATCTAGCCTCTATGTAACTAATATCAAAATTTTCGAACATATGGCCGACTTCACTCCAAGTACTTAATGAAGCTTAAGGAACATTGTTTAGCATGCACGTTAATATTATGTGTTACTGACAAAAATGGATTAAATCTGGTAAATATTTTCCAGAAGGAATTTCTCGAACTTGCAATTTCCAAAAATAAAAAATTTTCGGTTCACCGGAACTTAGTCCTTCCTTACTTGTTTTAATTATTCCTACGCAAAAAATACCAGAAAAGTAAAAATAATTCGGTGCAGTTTAAATTGAAATGAAGAAGAATACTTACGAATGATCCTTTTTAAGGACAAAAACTGAAGCTCAGCGGGCGTTGGAAAAAAAATCTTGGATTTRATCTACACCCTAATGCTTATGCCTGTGTTTAGTGATTGATTTTCGTATTTATCCAAACGTTCGCATGTTTCCCGTGATATTGTTTGTTGGTTGCTTGGCTGCTAAGTCCGCTTTTGTAGTCAACGTTTTGCGCTCACTCGTGGTTAGCAAACAAGTTGACATCAAAGCAGCGTGAAAAGTAATCATTTCACCACAGCATACCTGTAGGCGAAATTAATCAAGATTTTCTCGCGCAACACAGCAGCTGCTGATAAGAATGAGGTTACTTTGCCTGTGTTGACACTATTATCACCAAGAGGCGTTGAGCTCAAATTACAAATACATAACGCTCGATACAAATATGTCAGAATTTACTGTACACATATACACACCTACGCCAACAAYATGATTGCACTTGCAAAGCCATTCGCGTTCATTTGTCATGCACTTTATGTGCCACATAAATGCGTAAAAAAATGAAATAGCAACAATTAAGAGCGATAAAATATTTCCAGTGTGACAGTAAGTTTTTCATCTATTTTTGGATTTCTCGTAAATATTCGTAAATGCCGTGATACTCTGCCGATAAGCCCGTATGTGCACAAATTTGTTTTTATTTACCTCAGCACTTTTTTGCTTTTGCGTTTTTCCTACGTCAATTTTAATTTATAGGCGAAAAATCTGCTGATACTTTATTTTTTTTGACTTCCACTGGTTGCGAAAGCAAAAAGTAGAATTGGTAAGGCATGAAATGAAAAAGTGTAAAGCAAAGAATTCGGGAGTAAAAATAATACTGTTTACGTATTTAAAACATTGCGAGTAGCCATTTGTTTGCTGATGAGCGACGGTTAGCGTCAGCAGGAAAGGGGCAGCGTGCCAACCGATCCTATATTATTCCCTTAAAAGCTCATTCAATATTTATACTTGGGGTTTCATAGTCAGACTCCTACCGTCACATTTATATATGCAGGCGGCCTCGAATATTATAACGCTCAGGCGGTCGAAATTTTGTGTTATTTGCTATTTGGAAAAGTTGTTAGCCTACACTGGAAAAATTGGTTTCGGTGCTCAGTTTGAATTAGAAGAAAAAACAAATTGTAACTCCTACCAGATTTTCATTGGTTTGTAAACATTACTGAAAATCTTCTGAAAACACTTGGCAGATTATTAAGTCAGAAGATAAAATGTTTTGACATTTGCATTCAACTTCACTATATAAAACCCTATACATTTTAACGATTTCTCAGATTTTTAGTACCCAAAT